CTCAAAAACAAACTAAGAAATCAAAAATTTACATTCTTTCATAGCAGTTTTCTCCAATACTAACAGGGATGTAAAACCAACTATGACTAGAACTGTGCTGAGCAAGAAAATTGCATCAATTGCACTTCCTCGTTCTACCATCATATTAACCTTGCAAAGTAAAGCTATCATAAGGGGAAGTAGAACACTTACATTGCTCACAATCAACACTGACAGCTAACATGTTGAAACCCAAAGTAAGCGTGTGCGTGCAGTAAACACCATAAAATATGGGACCTTGCACTTGGCCTTGTTGAACTTCATGAGGTTTGCACAGGCCCACCTCTCAAGCCTTCAAGGTCCCTCTGGATGCTATCCCTTTCCTCTGACATGTTGAATGCACCATGCAAATCTCATGAAATTCAACAAGACCAAGTGCAAGGTCCTGCACCTGCATCTGGGCAAACACAAATACAAGCTGGGCAGAGAATGGATTGAGAAAAGCCCTGAGCAGGACTGTGTGTGTGTGTGTGTGTTAGTTAGCTGAGGAGAACCTCAGCATGACTTGGCAATATGAGCTTGCAGCCCAAAAAGCTAACCTTATGCTGGGTACATTTAGATTAGATATTAGGCAGAAGCTCTTCCTTGTGAGGGCAGTCAGGCACTGGCACAGGCTGTCCAAAGAAGCTGTGGCTGCCCCACCCCTGGCAGTGACCAAGGCCAGGTTTCGTGGGGCTTGGCGCAACCCGATCTAGTGGAAGGTGTCCCCCCCTGTGGCAGGGGGTTGGAACTGGAGGAGCTTTAAGGTCCCTTCCAACCTAACCCAACCTGTGATTCTATGATATTTTTTTTTTTTAATTCTTCTGAAAAACGTGGATGAAACTAAGACTACTACAGTCTCAAATGTTCAAAATGCAGAAAACTGTCTCCCAGCCTCAACAAAGGAAGGCAGCAGGGGACTATTTTTAAGACCTGGGGAGATTTTGGGGTTCTTTTTATACATAGTCCAGATTTTCAATCTTTTAGGAACTCCAAGATTACATTTGCAAATTTTCCATACAAACATGCAAAATATATTTCATTTAAGAAAGAGGGAAAAGTGCCCAAGATACTAATGTAATTACTTTGTCAAGGGAGTAAGGCTTTAAAAGCATCAAACATCAGAAGAAATTGCAATGTGCAATAGGCAGGTGCGTCAGCAAAACTGTCAGGAAAATATTTTCTTACCTGGTTTATAAGTGAATCATATATAAAAGTTCCTTCAGATGAGTAAAACTGCAGAATGGCTGGGACACAAAACATATCTCAGTTTTAATCTCAAATTCTTAAAGCTTACATCTGATAACAAAAACCACTCTGCAGTTAAGTTGCTTACACAAATATGTAGAAATTCAAATGCTCACATCTGACATCAGAATCTTCCCCCAAATTGTTGACTAACTTCTACATCTCATCCATCAGGAAAAACAAAATAAATCCATCATTTTTACTTAAACTCTATTAAGCACTGAACATTATGCAACTGCAAGTTCTAAAACACAATACATTTAAAGAGATATGATAGCTCATCCTAGATGTAATGCCTAACCACAGTGTCTCACCTGCAGATAGTCTTCCTGACCCAGTTACAGCTCTGTGCAGGCACAGCAGCTTGCTCACTTGCAACATGCACAGAAGCAAATCCTGAAAAGGAGGAAAGACCAACTCAACTGCAAGTCACAATAAATGGCCTGGTGACTAATACAAAGAACAAACCCTTCCTTAGTCAAAAAAAAATTGCAAACATAAGCAGCAGAAATTAATTTATATCATTATCAAAACAATCTCTAAAGTTGCAAGACTTCAGAAAAGAAAGGCTAATTTCTCTTTCACTTAGACATCAGTCCAAATGTATATGACAGCTGGACCTTCTTGTGACCAAATTCATATTTATGTCATTACTAACCCATAAGGACCTCATGTCCCTCAAAGAGAAAAGTATGAAAAATTGGAGGAGAAAAGCATTATAGAGAATACAAGCCTTTTAACACAACTTTAGGAAAAGCTGAATAAAGAACAACACATAATGCTCATAACACTTCAAAAAGTGAATCTACACAGTAGACCACAGACCCGCATAGAAGGTAATGGGTGGAAACTCCCATCACCACCAGACTCTTCACACCCCAACTATGCTCAGAAAAGAGGAAATGAGAACAAGCATTTGGTTGTTAGGCTTGGGAAAGAGACCAATGAAGTCCTGTTATAGAGCAAGGCTGTGAAAAAGAACTTAGCCATAACCGCCACAATTGTTTTCAGTTCTGAAATGACACTTCTGCATAAGTAATCATCCTGGTATAAATCAAGTATCTGCCATCAGAATGAAAACCAGGGCTGCTTGCTCGAGGTAGCAGGCACTGTAGCTGTAGTGGTTCAGCTCACAAAAGGTGATTACACACTTTTGGAAACATGTTTTGTATCATCTAGCTCTGACATCTTCAGGGAACAAGTTCTTAACTTCCACTACAAATTTTTCACTTAGAGTTGATGCAGAAAGTTTTCTCTCTTGTCTATTTTTTTTTTTTACCCTATACACATGAAAGGGCTCAAAGTCACATCACCCCCTACCATCAGCATATCATATGCAAAAATCAAGTGCCCCAGGCAAAGGAGGGCTTCCTGCATTGAAAAGTCCAAAAGAAAAATCCAGCTGCAGAAGGCCCTAGTAGCTTATCTCCATCTGAAAGCTTTCCTGTACCAAAGCTGTGCTTTACTGTTGGTTTGGGAGGTAACGGACTATCTGCTCAGCTACCCAAAAATCTAAAAACTAAAAAGAAAACAGTCTCAAATTGTTTAAAACAAAATATCTAAAGGCACATTTCAGAAATATGGATCACAGACAGTAATACCCATATGTCTGTGGCCCTATGCCTTTCCTCATCCCTGTTTTTGTGACTGACCTTTTATTTTCCAACAGTTATGCTGTAATCTCAATGAAATCCAGCACGCCTTATCACTTACCTAGAAGCTGACATAGAGCACTGTTAAAAGCTGTTCAATAAGAACCCATTTTCCTCCCGTTTGCAACTCCACTGCCTGTAAAACGTGTTAATAAAGCTTTGAGCTGCATTAGAATCTACTCTGATGAAAGACAATCTCCAACTGTAAGCGCATTACCACACACTTTGCACTGCTGAGTTTTAAAAGCAAAATTAGAGGATAATCAGTTAGCAAGAAAGTCTCAGTACCAGGGAACACCTCAAATCTCTAAAGCCACGCTCCTCTATTAGTTGAGAAGATTCTCCATTTTGTGGATCAAATTTTTACATATTTACTCGGTCCTAATTCAACTCAAACCCATCAGCTGATTAAACAAAGACATAAAATGCAAATCTCCTTAGACCTTGCAAAATCTTCCACAGTTCAAAGAAAAAAAGACTATTTGTTTCAAAAGGCTTGCACTAAAGCGATTCCCTAAATAACTGAAATGCAGCAGTAGTTAACAAATGGCTTGCTGCAGCATTATATGGTAAAGTCACAAACCAAAATGGACTCTTTCTGACCACTTACATTAAATACCCAAAGAACATGAAACTAAATAAAACACATTTTAAAGCACTTTCTGTTTTGCTAGACTTCACTGGAAGTACTGAAATAAGGAAAACTGCTTGGCCACAGTTAACTTCTGCTTTTCCCCTCTCACGCAAACTAGCTTTAGTTTTGTTTTTATAACACAATGGTCATGAATTGCTCATGCATATAACGTTCCTCAGATTTCAGTGTAACAACAATCTACGTAATTTTAAATGAGTCTTCTCATGCAATTTATTATAGTATTATAGCCAAAGGGATGATAACCAGATCCAAACGAGAAAAATATTTTCCTTTAATTACACTTAAAAATGCGTAAAGACCCGTATCTGTACCCAATACTAGTTTAATTTGCAGCAGAACTAAACCCAAAATAACCCAAGATGACTCTGCTCCACTGCTTTCACCCAAACAGTGATCACTACATGCACTAGATCTCTCAGGTCTACAGTAATTTTGCATTAAAATAAGTTTCTTCAAATTAAACTCTTTACATATATATATATATATAAAGGCTATTAACAGGAATGATTTTGTGTGTGTTACAGCCTTTCAGTTTCGATGTCAGACACAAAAACTGAGACACTGCCACACTAACCTCATAGATACCAAATGAAATACTGTGGAAAGAGCCTGACCACCTAACAGATGGAATTTGCCTCTTTGGAGATGACTCTGAAGCCGTGCAGCAGCTGGGCCACAGCTGCTGGCAATGATCTGGTACCTGCCTGGAGAAACACCCGCAGTCACCACAGGGTCATGAAAAAACACCGGGAGTTTCCCCACAGGTTGCAGAATGAGATCATTTAAGCAGAAAGCAGGAGAGCAATTACACCTGGCCTGTATGAGTTACGAATGATGACAAAGATCTGCCTTGGATTCCTACAGGAACACGACGGTGTTTTCTCTGCTTCTTACACTTCACACATTCCTGTGCTGCCACCCATCCCTGAAACACCTTCTTTAACACTGGTGATTGCAGCACCAAAGGCTTGAAGGAAAGTCTCATTAGCTGGAGATGAGAACAGGCTGGGGAAAAGGCCTGGCCGGGACGTGAAAGGCCTTTGGAGGGCTCTGGCTTCGGGCGTGCCAGCACAGGCCGCTCCTGAGATAAATCACTGAGGTAACACCTGTGCTCACAGAACTACAGCCTACCCAGATTTGCCCCGTTATTAAAACTACATCCATGGCTTTTAAACCAGCAAATAACACTCCAAATAAAAACCTGGAAGAGAGAGCACGGCAAAAGCGCGAGGCAACCTCGGTGTCGCTCCCCACCACGCGGGAGCACACACTGACGCTCACCGGACGAGTTGCGGCTCCTCAAACCAGTGCTCCTCGAGTCTCGGCGACCAAAAAAAAACCTAAAACCCACAACACTAAAAAAACCAAAACTCATTTCCTCGTCTCAAACGCGGCACTCACACCGCTCCGGCCGCAGCCTCCCCCGCTCAACCGCGCCAGGGAGTGGCGGGGCCCTTCGGCCGAACCAAGGTACCCGGCGTGGGCGCCCGGCCAGCCCGGGGCCCTCCGCGGGGCCGCAGACGCAAGGTCTCAGCCTCTCCCAAGAGCGACCGCCTCCAACAAGACAGGGAGCAAAAAGAAGGGGGAGCGGGCGACGCTGCCGCCTCCCTCAGCGCCTCCGGGGCGGGGCCGGTGGTGCGGCGGCGGCAGCAGCAGGTGAGCGCGGCCCGCAGCTGCGCCCCGTGGGCGGAGCGGGAGTACGGGGCGGGGAGCGCCGGGCCGGGCCGTGGCGGAGGGAGCCTGCGGGCTCTCTCCCGCCTTGCTTCAGTCACTCTTTTTCCTGGGACGGAGCTCGGAACTCGGCGTGGCAGCGGTCCCCGAGGTCTTCTTGGACGTGGGTGAGTGCTGGTACCTGCCCCTGGTGCGGGTCTCTCTCTGCTCGGCAGTTCCTGCCCCGCCTGGCGCTGGGTGAATGAGGAAGCGACACGGGCTCCAGCTCCCTCCGGCCCGGCGCTTTCCGTGGGACTCTTGGTGGAGAGAGGGGTGGTGGCCGAACTCAGCCCACCGCTCTGGTCTGTGTCCTGGCGAGGCGGCCCTGAGGGGCGGGCGGGGGGCAGCGGCTCCCTTGGGGTTGCGGGGCGGGAGGCGGTGGGGCTGCTCCGGCTGCGGGGCGCCGGCTGCTGCGGGGCTTCCTCCTCAGGCGTGCCTCCATGTTGGTGTCCGCTCCCCGGGGCGGGGGGCTGCGGTGGGAGCCCCGCGGGCCGGCCCGGACTCGGACTTTGTCCGCCGGAACCTCCCCGCCGCCGAGTTCGGGGATGGGGCTGGCTCGTTCGCTCCCCGGGGAAGGGCGACCTTGAGCCGAGAAAGTCTGTCAGCCCCCGGGCGGGGAACGGGCGGGCACGGCGGGAGCCTCAGTGGGAGGGGGCTGGTTGTGCCCCGGGCGAGGAGGTAGCGAGGTCCCTGCAGTGCTTCACAGAAACACGGAGTTTCCTTATAGCAGAAACGCCAAGTCTGATAGCACCAACTTCTTCGGTCTTGTTAATTTCCGCCCAGCGGCGTTGGTACTCTTGCAGTCCCCCGCACGGCAGAGGCTTTGGATCAGGTCTTTTTTAAAGTGGTCACGTTTCCAGCTGAATGGCGACAGACAATACTAAATGAAGGGGCAGGAGTGCCTGTTGCTTTTGTGTACATACCAGGCGTGCATCTCTTAAAAAACAAAACAGTTTTCAGGTCACCGCTAGAGAATTCCGCATTTGCATTAGGGTATGAAATATTAGAATAATTGAATTATGGCGTTCTGTGGTTACATCTGACATCTGTTTACTTGTGTGCTCTGACTGTTGCACCGCTTCACTTCTAGTTTGTTCAAGCAGTGCAGACCAGTGTGTCGGTCTGGACCTTGGAGCTCTTGCAGGAGATTTATGCACAAGGGTGATACTGCCCTGTATCCCATCTCTTGGCACTTGGATGCTTGCAAGGACAGAACTGAATCTGCAGTGAAGACAGGTGTGGTTATAATCAGTTCTCATGCTAGATCGTTTCCTAGTTTTAGAGACTTCTTTAAAGCCTGGATTACAACATTTAACATTTCTACGTATGGTCGGTGTCAAAATTCTACATGGACTTGTGAGCAATTTCTTTTAAATCTTATTTGGGCCTAGGCCTAGTACAGTCATTAGTCCATGAACTAATAAGCCAGCAAATAACCTCTTGGCTTTCCATCTGTCTAATAATGCCATGCACCGTTGTACTGATCAAATAGGAAGCTATAACCAGCTCTAACCAATACAGCTTTCTGAACAAGATGCTAGGAAATGCTTATTAAGTGGTTAAGCAATAATTCATAAGCATGTTTTTCAAGATGTGTATATGCAGCCTTTCCAATTTAGTTTAGTTACTGAAAATGACTGTATTAAAAAATAAGATATTTGTCTTTGGACTGGTAGATTTCAGTCATCCCATGATTGAGCGTTCAAATACTGGAAAGAAACAAAAAAGACTGCAAAACATAGATTTAGACTTTTTTTTTTTATATGATTATCAGAATAAGCTACATAACTTTTGAGACTTTGGCAGTCTAAAAATGGAAACACATAGCAAGGTATTTCACTAGGAATTATTTTTATGGTTGTATGGAATGCTAAACATAAAAAAAAATTAGAGGTAACGTAAAAGAGCTAAGAGTTAGCAATACTTTGAAACTTTCATCCTACGTCTCATAACTCAGATTCAGGTATGAAGGAATTGCTGCCACTCAGTGACTGGTACAAACCTATAGAAAACTATGTTCTGTTACACAGCTGTGACGTACATGTGGTTAATGAGTATGCTGTGAGGCAGTTCTGTTTGGTTGAATGTGCATGAGATAATTGATCAGGAAGATGCTCGTATTCTCACCAGACAAAAGCTCATTCTCAAGCTTTTTTCCATTTTGTATGTCATGAATTATAATCCACCTTTGCATTAGGCATAATTATACACTAGGGTCATAATTTTCTTATTGAATGGAGCAGTGAAATACTATCATAATTTTGACTTTTTAATCAAATCAGATCAAATAATCTGTAACACACAGATAAACACATCAGATTTCCATTCTCTGTATCAGTGTTAAATATAGTTGAAAAGATACCTTGTGAAGAAGGACTTTTTGTTTAACTAGGAACAGTTTTTAAACTAGAGCACTTACGAAATATTGTAGTTACTTTTGTTAAAGAGAAATCTTTAAAATAATATCTCAAAGACAACTTGGCTATTTGATGCTATGTAGATCAAGGAAATAGCAAGAAAACCTGGAAAGATGGTATTATATGCAAATAACTGGGAAATGCATAGAAGCTTTCAGGCCTCCGAGTCCATTTTGATGTCTAAAAGCCACGGTCATTTTGGTTATAGTTCATGTCAAATTGAGTACTTCAGGGCCTAATAGTAACCATCAATCCTTGTTTCCATCTGAAGGACTTCCCTGTCACCCTGTCTCTGTGCAGAGACACAGACCTTCTGCACTGTGGATGTGTTCCCCTTCTGTGGCTGGAGCACAGCTCTGGCTGATGCTCCCAGAAAGAGGAGCACCTTCATCACCTCTCACTCTGCAGCAGCACTGTGCCTGGAGGTGGGACTGTAGCACGTTGTGATGTATCGAAGTTCAGTCCAGCTAACCAGCACATGCCTCAGTGTGGACTGTAAAATATAAGTACTTTACAGGTGTTAGCCAGTGCTGAGGTATGTGCCTGTATTGCGTTCATTGATGCTGGTATTTAAGTTCCCTAAAGCTAACTCAGGCGTGTCTCTTCATGATGCAGTTCAAATATGTTATGTATCTATAGTCCACCATCGACTTAATTGCATTTATGAAGTATGTACTTAACCTACTGTAAAAAGAATGGCGTTAAAATGGAATAGGCCAGGGACTGAAATGTTTGTTGCAGATGAGTCAGAGCTGAATGTGAAAGATGACAAGAAGGGGTATACCAGAAGAGTCTGGGGGCTGGCTGACTTCATTAGGAGCAGAATTCCTCTATTAATCATCCACTGATGAGAAAGGTTATGTGATTTTTACTCTGAAATTATCCTTGCATTAAATGCAGCCTCTCCTCATCACAAGTTATGAGGCTCTGTCCAAAAGCTGCCAAAAAGCATCAAACCAGCTAGTTCCAGTAACTGTTTTCCTTGCTTATGACAAACCTCATCATCTTTCTTTGAATCTTCCTTTATCTGCATAATCTGAGTGGAGAGCTTGGTTCTTTAGAGCTGTATGTGAAGTCGAAGAGCAGCAAGGAGGAACAGGGAAAGGGGGAAAGCTACCTGTGCCCATTCAGAGCTATTTGAGTAGCACTTAAAAGTAATCATTCTGCATCTGCTTGGCTGTGCTTTGCAAAGATGCAATTAACAGAGATGAGCCTGGGAGAGCTCTTTACAGCCTTGGTAAAATAATGCTGGAATGGCTTGTATTGTGTACTCATTTAAAAGCAGCTGTTCCTACCTGTAAGAGTTTTTACACATTCTTTAAGATGCATTACTTCTCTAAGCCAGAGCTACCATGTTAGCTTTTTATGGTGTTTGTAATGTACTGACTCTAGCTCTATAGGGCCACCTAGATTAAGCATAGTGTCTTTATGAGTGGAAGCTGCACCAGTATGCTGCTTCTGTTACCAGAGACACCAGGAAAGGCAGAGAAATGAGAGAACTGGCACAGGAGTGCTGGGGACCTCATAAACCTGTCCTTGGCAAGAGATTCATTTCTGGTCTGATCTAGACTAAATTCTGTTATTACAAGAAATACTGATACCGAGAATGGAAATCTGATGTGTGTTCTGTGTGTTTCAGATTATTTCATGTTGGCTTTTTTTAAGTTAAAGTGTATGCAAGTGAAACATAATGTCTGCCTTTCAGTGGCAGAAAAGTGTCCTGATATCCATGATGATATGTTTTGAAGCTATTAAATTGGCTATTGCTCCTTTCTGATTGACAATAGATTTGGCAATTTCTAACTTTTTAGTTAGATGTAAGTGATGCAGCACAGATGTATATCAGTAGCTGCAAATCAAAGAAGTGGGCCATAAAATCAGCTCTTTAAAAGTATTTTTCAAGCTAAGAAAGTGCATAAAACCACAGAAATCTTTCCTCTTACTGAAATTAATGAGCTTCCTTGTAGTTTCTTTGCCATTGAGTGTAATGCACTATCTGCAAAACTATTGAAGGACATTTAAGCATAGTTGGTATTCATATGATAATAATCATGATCTGTAAAGTCTGAGAGTAACCATCACAGAGAACTTCGTGAAACTGATGCACATTAAGCTTTTAAGCCTTGTATGATACTTGCCTGGCTGCTAAGGGAGGAGGGTGTGTGTGCTTCTCATCTCCTCCCATTTGATCAGCCAATCATCAAACTTGTTAAGAAAAACCACAACAAAACAGCACCTCTCTGTATGCCCCTGAACCAAGATTACTTTTAATGCCAAAGCGCTACTTTTGAGAACAAAACAAATATGCAATCTATATTCCTATCCTCCTATTCCTAGTACTTTTCCTTAGAGCTGTGAGCAAACTATGGTCTCGTTTGGTTGAAATGTATCCAGGTGTTTTTGATTTTACCCATTTGGAGTGAGAGTGGCATTGCTTCCATTAGCTCCTGGAAGACTGCTTAATAGGTCAGGGTGTCACTGCAGTAGGTATTTTATGTGTCTGTGGCAAAGAGACCCTATTAAAACAAGCTCTTCCCAAACAGCTTACTAAGGGTGCCCCTCTGTTTTCTGAAGAGGTGCGTGTGGGCTGAAGTCCCTTCTGCCTCACTGGGCTCGGAGCAGTTGTCTGAATCAGTGTCTTGTTTCTCATCTCCTGGGTGACTGAAAACCTCTAAAATAGCGTGTATGTTTGTACATGCGTGGTTTTGGTTTGTGTTATGCTTAGTCTTTTGCAGTCTCATAAATGATTTAAGTATTTATAGATTTGGTTTAATCCTGGCTATGTGCTATAAATACAGTGTATCTTGAAACATATGCAGTAAATCTAAACTTCAGCCTCGGCTTTTTTTTCCCACCCGTGTGCTATGAAGTCGTGCATGCTTCTGATTTGGAACTGAAAGCCTAGGCCTAGTTGTTTGTTGTGTGACAAATGATGAGATGGTAAAGAAAGAAAACAATATTTTTTTAGTACTCAAGTCTCAAGTTACTTTGTGTGTTTGATTTTTTTTTATTCCTCTTATCAACACATTTTTATTATTTAATACGTATTTATATGCTATTACTATTTCTTTGTATAATTGATTCTTTATTATATTCTCTGGTTTCTTGAGGAAGTGAAGATTAAGCTTTGCCATGTTTTTTCTGCTTAAGGAACTAAAGAAATCCAAGTGTTTGTCAGTACCACTTTGCTTCTCAGCATACCAGTAACGCCTAATTTACTTCAGTCCATCAAATGTGTCAATATTCTATATGAGGAACAGCTGAAGGGAAGAAGGATTTTTGGTTGTGATAACCAGATTTTTCTTTCTGATGTTAAAGATTTTTTTTCTTTAACTTATAACCAGATTTCTCAAGATTTAGATACTTGAACATGTAGACAAATATTGGAAAAGATGATTAGAAATGCCTAGCAGCCAAACTCGAGGTTAAGCTTGGCTTCTGCAGCCTGCCTTTTTCTGGGAAATTCCCCAGTGAGTACAAAGGCAGTGTAGCTAAGCTATGGCTGAACTATGCTTTT